CCTGCTGGCTTTGTGTATTTGTTTCACTTAATGGCTGAGTGGGCTCCTGTTTCATCTCTGCTGACAAGACGATCCATTTTTTTGGAAGCAGATTTTTTTTTCCCTGTTAGGTGTACTTTGTGCCTTTCGTAAACATTTCATTTGTGGTGAGACTGACCCGTTGTTACTTGCAGAACAAAAAACAATTTAAAGGAGCAGAAAGTTTTTGGATCCCCAAGATTTGTAAGGAGGGTGCCAAATACTGTTTCAGTTTGGAATTATTTTGAGTGTCTGAGGTTTTGTTTAAAAATACTGTATATATAAATGATTTGTGTATTTTCTGTTCATCTTATCTGTCTTTTTCTCTTTGTCTCTTCCCAGTGGGAAGCTTTTACTATTCCTGAACTGCAAAACTTCTTGCGTATACTGGACAAAGAGGAAAATGAGCAACTGCAAATCTTAAAGAAGCGTTACGCAGCTTACAGAGACAAACTTGAAGAAGCCCTTGGTGGGGTGTGGAAACCTGATTAAAAGGGGGCCAAAGGACACTCAGGAAAAATGCACGCAACCAAATGTCAGTATAGCATGCCAAACCCAATGTACAAAGAGCAGCAGAGAGTAGTTTTCTTTATTCAGAAGACTGTTTTGTGATGCCAGAGTACCTGAATTTTGCTATAGACTTAGTTCCATAAGCCAGGTCACTTAGCATCTTGCACCCACAAGTAAGGGATTCTGCACGTTTGTACATCAGTTTGCAAGCCTCGGTGTGCCTAGAGTTTTCCAAGTTATCTTGGTGCAAGCTGTGAAACTGTAATCAATTTTCTAGGATGCTATGAAATAAGATTTTATGTTTTTTTCTTCTTTGCTTTAATGGTAGCTTTACAAGTGAGGATGTGCAAATTGATGGGTTAAAAAATGAATTAAACCAGCTGGACAAGAATTAGTTGGAGCACTATCTTTGAGATTAAATTGATTTGCACTACCTTTCTGTTTTCAAATAGTTACTGTATAATTTGTGAGAGAACTGTTATAGATGGAAGGCATATGAGATCTGGTTTATTCTGTGAAATTTGTGGAAGGCTTTAAAGTGGTCTTTCTGGAGAAGGTAAAGAGGAAGTTGAAAAGAAGGTCAGAGTTGAGGAAGGAAAACTCTTAACAGCTGACAGATGAGGACTGGTTTTAAATGGAAATAGTATTTATACAGAGGAAAGTTGAAATAGTAATTTTACAAGATAAAGTTTTAGGATGTTATAATATTGTGAATAAGTTTTATGTTTTTTTAACTGCATAAATCCACACTGGAAAAGAAATAAAGAAAACAGAAATAACGGGAAAGAATGAGAGGCAAAAGCTAAATAAGAATGGCAGTGGAGCTGCACATACAAGTCATTATTGGAGAAGCTGGTTCCATAAATGTGTAATGGGGGTTTGAAAAGTGCAGCAAAGCTAAAAGGTGGCTGCTTACTTGAATTCTGAAAAGTGAACAATGTCTCAGATAACTCCGTGAGAAATGCCCATCTAGCGAGTGTTTAGACATAAGCTATAACTACAGATGCATTTGGTCTTCATTTTAAGTCTTTCCTCTGGCTCAATGTTCCATTTTTAGGCTGGATAATTTTGAATTACCATATCTGAAAGACAAAAATAGCTTCCTCTGCTTCTTTGTTTGTTAAAGACTCAGGCAAAGAGAGTAGAATTTCTTATTCGTGTTTCCAGCTTAGCAGAAAATTTAACATTTATTGGCTGCCTTGGTGACTGAGTTTAGTAACTCTTCCCTTTCAGTAATTCAGAAGGTTTTTTCATTATGGCTTTTAAATTCTTAATGGAAAAACTTACTACCAAATTCTGCAGACTGCTGATTTACTTGATTTAAAAGTAAAAAAAAAAAAAAAATGTAGCAAGAAAACTTTCTACTTTACTGTAAATATAGTTGTTCTTTCAGTTATTTATCTAAAAAAGCATGTTCAAAAGAAACCAAAGAAGTGGGTGTGCAATAGAAGCATGAGGCAGATTTGAGTAACTGATACTTTGGTCATTACCATGCCAGAGAAGCAATGAGTTATATATTGGGGGTTGGGGGGAGCGTGCTAGTGATTTAAAAGCAGCAGAAGTTGGTGGGTTTTTTTCCCCTCCACTCTTAAGGTGTTCGTTTTAAATTCCCAAGGAATTGTTAAAACTTTGGTGACATCTAATGGATACTGTGTGAAACTCCAAGATGCTTCTGTTCCTCCCCTTAATTTGATGTAATTGTGCCTTTGTTTCCTTTCCGTAGTAAGATTTTTTAAAAACTCTTCACAGTTTGGGGTTTGTTTTTTTTTTTCGTAAAAAGAATTTGGAAGCTTAATGAGACAATCATAATGTTTTAAAGTGTTAAGATAAATTAAGAGTAGGACTAACTATAAAGTATATATAAGGCATATCTTTGGTTTTTAATTTCACATGTAACATTGTAGTGCATGTGTGAGTTAGTAACATTATCCTCAAGTGAGACACTTTATAATGGTTCAGGGAATGCTTCTTAATGTTTTGTTACAATTTGTTTTCTATGAATGCAGCAGCATGTTGGTGGGTATTCTGTTAACATCTGCTTAATTTATGTATCTGCCCATAGCTATGTAGTCATTACATAATCTCTGTCAATATTGAACCATTTGTTGCTCAGATTTAAACACTGTTTGAGTTTAAAAGTGGAGTATAAAAATATGTGAATTTTGTTTTTTACTTGAACTAAACTATCAGTCTTTTAAGTAGGCGCGTCTGCATTTACTTTAGCCAAAAACCTCAATCAGTGTTGTATGCACTATGAGTCTTGATTTGGGGTGGAGGGGGGTGGGGGACCAAAATAAACTTATTTTAATTTTGTCTTAGTCCATGGTTAATTATTGTAAGATGTTGTGTGTGGGGTTATTTTTTTCTTTTTTTTTTCTTTTTTTCTTTTTTTTTTTTAACACACTGGCAATTTCAACAGCTTTAATTTAAAAGAAATGGGCATGCCTAGTCAGTTTTTCTCTTTTGAAAATTTTAGCATCAAATTGAACTGTTAAAGTTTTTGTTGCAAAACTGTTTTAATTTCATTATATGATGGTACCAGAATGATTAAATGATACGGGCAGGGGGAACGCAGGGAAACATTAAAATGTATGTCTTTAAAAACAAACATTTAAACTATTTATAATTTTGACAAGCTTAGTTTTATTTTTGTAGGGAAGTTTTTATTCCCCTTAAAGTTATTACTGAAATGGCAAAAGAAGTGATGGTTCAATTATTAAAGTTGAAGTTGGCAATACCTAGTTACGTGATGTGTGTTTATTTATTTTATTTATTTTTTCCTGTTACCCGAGGCTCCTGTTGTGGTCGCTTTAACACCAACTGAGACTTCCTTGTGGGGGGAGAAGCAGCTTGAATTAAGCGTGAATTAAAGTTTTCCTGAAACAACAGACACATTTCAGTGTTATCTGCCCTAGTCATGCACATATTTTAATTTGCCTCTTGATTTTTGGCAAAGAATAATACAGGAAAAAAATAAACCAATCGATTTTCTCAAATACAACAAGAAAAAAAACAACAAAACAAAACCAAACAACCTTGAAATTTACACCCATACCTGGAAATGTACCTTTTCCTTTCCCACCTTCCCCTCGCAGTCGGCCCCGCCCGA